AGATTATTAGTGTGCCTAATCTGGATTATTAATTGAGTATTAATTAATAAATTTTTCTGACACGTGTGAGTTTAAATAGTTCTAAGGTATTTAAATTATTCTCAGTAATTTATTTAAACCCAGAAGTGTGTATGGGTGCATTTCTGGACTGCTCTTTTAAAATATTGTACACATGTCCTTTTCTTTTGTTTTTCCTTTTCTTTTCTTTTCCTTTTCTTTTCTTTTCTTTCTTTCCTTTTCCTTCTCGTGCACTTTCTCTCTCTCCTTCACTCTCACTCTCTCTCTTTCTCTCTCTCTCTCTCTCTCTCTCTCATTTTTGTCCCAAATCAAACGGATCTTGAACCAATGAAAGATTTAAAGAAAGTTTTCAATATCAAGAGAAGGATTCGAGGTAAGATTACTGAAAGAACCTCTATTGAATCTCAAGTTTTTGAATTTCAAAACTTATTTTCGGTTCAAACCAGATTTTGATAGTTTTTGAGTAAAACTAGGGTAGAAATTGGAGATCTTGGGTTCTTTGAACTTGTTTTAGGACCTAGAACCCAGATATATTGGTTTTCCTTTAAAATATTTAGATTTGGGACTGGATTTACAGGTTTTTAGACTGATTTCTGTGAGCTTCTCTCGCGCAGCTGATTCCACCGGTCGACCTGTGCGGTCGACCAGATCACATGGAAACCGGTCGACCTATGCGGTCGACCGGATTGCAGGCTAACCGGTCGACCGGTAGTGTTGCATTGCTCTGTCACCGGTCGACCGGTGCACACGGGTTTGACCCTGTTTGGCCTGAAATTGCTGTTTTAACCCCTGTTTTCAGGGAGAACCCAAATTAGCTTCATTTGGGGACTTGAGATAAATGGATTAGCATCTTTAATCCTTGTTTTGAGATTGAAAACCCTTAGAATGATAATTTGAAACATGAAAATGGATTAGGACACACTAATAGTAAATCTTGGTTGGAAGTTGGGATTTGGATTGCTTTAGGAATGAGAATTAATCCTAAAGTGTTGTCTTGCATTAGTGATCGCTGAGGATTCAGACTGAAGAGGCTTGAGGAAGCGAAAGCCGGAAAAGGCAACACTAGTCCCAGGTTTGATAGTGCGAAGTAGGATTTCTATCCCTTTTCCTTATGAGGATGTTTTCAAAAAGATTTTGGACTTGGAAATGCTTTAAAGAAAGGGGTTGATTTGCGAAAGAAAAACTCTTTGAAAACCATGACTTGTGGAGTTTATGGAATCCATGGCTTGTCCTGTCCATGGAATTTATAGCTTGTCCAGTCATGGAACCTCATGGCTTACCCAGTCATGGGGCCCGCGGCTTGAGTAGTTCGTGGGGTTATAATTACGATTTCAGAAAGTTAATGAATGAGTTCTTAAGCAAAGAGATCTTGTGAACTGGTAAGAGAGTCTATTACTGTAAGCCTAGCTAGGATGCGGATAATGCTTTCTCGGGGGCAGAACCCAAAACTCGGTCTGGGTAGGCGAGGCACTTGGTTAGGTAAGTAATTTGTACTAATTACTTGCTGAAGCCTGTAAAACGGTTATATTCAGTCATCCTTGAGAAAAATGATGTGAGGTTCCGGCTGTCTGTTAGAATTGAATGTCTTATTTTATTTACTTATTAATTTATCTATTCCCTCGCTCACTTATTATTCATTTATTTATAACGTTTATTTCAAATTATATCCTACTGGGCATTTCGCTCACGTTTTATGTTTTAAATGTATTAAACCCCTCCCAGGAGATTCTAGGAGCAGTGCATAGTAACTGGATATTTGCTACGGAGCAGCTGAGTTTTGCTGTTGTTGGAATCAAGTGAGGATTGTGGTTATCCTCTTGGACAAATGTAAGGAATTGAGAATCTTGTAAACTCTTGAAATATTTAGATTAACTAGACTGTGGTTGATATCTGTTGTAATGATTATTTACATGTTCATGTATGTACGATACTATATGTCCTGTGGGGTGGAAACCTGTGTGTTGTCAGAGGTTCAGGATTCTGTAGTAATTAATTTATATTTTAATGCAGCTAAGTGGGGCTCGTCTGGGAATCTGCTTTGTTATTCCCTAATCGAGCTCCACGTCACTGATAACTCTAAGAAATTAGAGTTATCCACTGGTTTTATAGCTTAAAATTGCGTGTCCATGAGTGATTTTTCTAGTTTATTGTATGTTTTAATTTAGATTTGTAGAGTTTGCACTTACTTTGGCTTAATTCCGTACTGCTGCTCCTCTTGAAGTGAAAGTTAGTGATTTGGAAGAAAAATGAGGTGAAAAACTAACTAATGTTGTGTGAGCACCTTGCAGGAAATTGCTGGGCTAAAATGCTGCGGTATTTTGCGCAGCATTCTGGGAATAGCTGGCAGCTGATAGACGTAAGCGCACTAGCTGGAGAAAGCAGACAAAAAGGAATCCGTGTGAGCTGGCCGAGGAGGTGTCATTTGGGCCCACTGTGCACATCATCAGTGACACCTCAGCCCTTGTGTTACCCTAGAAGGGAATGTTTTCTTAGGACAAGTTGGCAGCTGCCAGGGGGAGAAAAAGAGGAAGAGAGAGAATCGGGCAATAATATATAAAGGAGGACAAACATTGTCCAGACAGAGAGAGAATACACAAAATACATGCTCTCCAGAAAACAAAAAAAAAAGAGCACTACTCAGAGAGGAAAAAGCTTCTTACGAGAGCTGAAGAAGGCAGGAAAAACAAGTAGTATTCAGCCCAGAAGGAGAATACAGAGACGTGCGAGGAGGGCTAGAAGTTGAAGGACAGTTTGGCTGGCCAGAGAGGAATCCAAGTTCCAGCTGAAATTCGTTCTTCTTCTGTTAGCTTAACTTTTTTTTGTTATTTAGCTACTAATTTAGCTATGGATTATACTGGAGCTTTGAATCTTGTAAATCTCATTATGAACTAATTTGTTTTAGCTAGGTTTGCTAATGGAACCAATACTGTAAGAATGACAAGTTGTTTCTGAGTTGCTATTAATTTGCTATTCCTGTTCATTCATGTGAGCTAATGTCTATTTCTATTCTTGACTGGCCATCAATTTTAGGATTCAAGATTAAGATTAATACTGGAAGGGTTAGTTTTAATCGGATTAGCATGAATGATGCTTGTTCAATGAACTTGCTGAGTTGTTGATTAGTGGAGAGTATAGGAATATATTATTCACCTCGCATAACTTAATGAAACCCGAGCTTAAATCTGCATTCCTAGAGCTGGATTCACATATGAATATGTTGGAAATAGCTTGAGGAACCTTAGTCATAATCAATTCGGAAGAACTTTATGCATCAACGAGTGTCTGTTGACAAGATAGTTGAATGCTGCAGCATTCTTGGTAACATTCTAGTCAGACTTGCAGTTGAGGGGAAGTTAGCAGGCCTAGCTCATTTTCACCACTGAATTACAGCCCATCATTACGTTCTTGTTACTCTTAGTCACTTTAGACCTCATTTAGTTTGCATTCATTTTATTTACATCATTTTAGTGAATTTTTGCCACATTCATCATTTACTTGTTTTGTTGATTATATAACTTCCAACACGTACTTTCGGTGATTCAATCTTCGTGGGATCGACACTCTTATTCACTCTTTATTATTTGTCTGCGACACGTGCACTTGCGAGCATAAATATCACGCAACAGTCACCCACCCCGTTTGGGGGGCGTGACAGATATTGAAAATCTTTTCCTCAATTCTCCAATCACTTAGTAAAGAAAAGATTTTCTCAGATAGTACTATCCCAGTGTGTGGAGGTGGCATAAGATAAAAATTCAAGATTCTTTTATGCAACTTCTAATTCTTATCAAGAAAATGAGCAGTCAGACACAAATATCTATCAGTAGTCAATGAAGTCCACATATCACATGTCAAACTTATTCTACCAAGACATGCATCCAACATATTTTTTATTTTCATTTTCTCCTTCTCATACAACTTATGAGTGTCAGCTTTAGCAATGTTCCTAGATGCTAATTCCACATTAGGATACATATATTGAAGCATAGCCCTTAATCCTTTGTACTCAACAAATTGGAAAGACAAATCATGCATAACAATATAAGCAGTCACCAACTCACGCCATTTTTCAGAATCAAAGTAACAAGAGCCAAATGACAAGCTACTATCACGAGAAATAAGCATATGACCAATATCTCTAGTGTCTGATCTCGGACAAGTTTTAATATGCTTCAACATGTTACCTGTTCCATACTTACTAGTAGCAAGATATTGAAGCCCACACTTCTTGCAAGCACTCCTAAGCTTTTTTTTTTCCCCGGACTAAGAGGAAAGATCTTAAAAAAGTTCCAAACTTTCGATTTCTAACTTCTTCTTCTTGAGAGGTTTTTGGCCACCGACATCTGTGAGCTCAACCACATTCTCTTCAAGCTCGATATTGACATCTATTGCTTCCTCTAAATCAATGCTCTCACTTTGTGCCTCCAAATCGTTGTTGTTCATCTACAAAAGACTTAATAGAAAACTCAATTTGCAGGGAGAAAAAAGAACAGAACTACATAGTAACAAAGTAAAACATATTAGTTTTAGAACAATGTGTATGCATGGAATATACTTAGTAATGGAATTAAATGAATTAAGCTTGCCATCTATGTGAAATTCTGTCTCTATGAAATGTTGTCTTATCTGTATCAATTGTTTTTTTTTTTAAAGCAAAATCAAAAAAACTTTC